AAGTAATTGGAAAGACTACGGCCTGAATCAGACACCCCTTAGTACTCAAACAGACATAATTAATCCTTAATAATTTAGAGGGGTCACCAACTGCAGATTTTCACAGAACAATGCATCTCCTTATGTCCTGACTGCTGGTACCAAGGGTGTTAATTGTGGATGCAAGCAAATGAAGGTATTGACAGCTTCAATCTCCTCTCCATCCATCATGATGTTGCCTCTTGATCCAGTGGTAAGAATCTTTACTTTCTTGATGTTAAGATGCAATCCGTACTGAAGGCTGCATTCCTTGATCTTCTACAAGTGCTTTGAATTCTCATCACTTTCAGGAAGCAAGATTGCATCATCTGTGTAATGAATGTTATTAACTTGTTTTATGTATTTTGCAGGCACCAAATGATAGACCTGAAAACTACATAAAACAAAGGTTCAATAGAATTGAGCAAAGAAATAGCACCAAAATAGTGGTAGGAGATATTAACATAGCACTCACACCAAAGAGTAGATCAACACAAAAGAAACTTAAAGAAGTAGAAAATTTAAACTACACAATCAGACAACTCACATTGTAGATGTATTCAGAGTACTTCACAAAACTAAAAGTCAATTTATTTTCTTCTCAAGTTCACACGGTTATTGTTGTTTTTATATGCCATCGAGTCTCCTGCAACTCATAGTGTCCCTATGTACAACATATCCAAAGTATGTCAGATGAAGCTTCAAATCCTTGCCTTCAAGGAGCAGCCTGGTCTTACCCTCTTCAGGATGAACCTATTTGTCTCTTAGCATAGTATATTCAACACTCTTATCCAGAACCAGAGCTCAAAGGCATCAATCCTCCTTCTATCATCCCTAGTCACTGGCCAGTATTCTCCAAAATTGGTCATAGGCTAGAACACAAAATAAGCCTCAACAAATTATTAACACTGAAATAATAAAAAGTATCTGCTCATAACACAATGCCATAAAATTAGAAATTAATGACCAGGATAAAGCTTATAAAACCACTTATGAAAAAGTTAAGTAATATCCTTTTAGAACACGACTAATGGAAGAAATAAAGAATGAAATTTTAAAAAAATCCCTTAAAACAAGTGAAAATAAAAATACAACATACCAAAACTTCAAGGATAAAGGTAAAGCAGTCCTCAGGGAGTAGTTCACAGCAATAGCCAAACACATAAAAAAACATGAAAGAACAAAATTAATGATTTTACTTAACATTTTCATAAAATATAAGAAGAGCAGCAATATAATCCCTTGCTTCCATTAGAACAGGAATTTTGAGGACAAGAGGTGACATCAATGAGATAGAAAATAGGAACAACTGAAACCATCAGCAAGACCAAGAGCTGTTTTTTTTAAAGAGTTAATAAAATTGATGGATTTTGACAAATTTAACAAAAGAATAAAAAGAAAAGACACAACTTGATTAAGACATGATCAAGGAGACATCACAACAGAACTATATGAAATTAAACATATAGTATTGGAATATTAGGAAAATACATTTTCTGAAAATTTGAAAACCTAGAAGAAATTGAAAAATTCCTTTAAACTCAGACTCTATCCATGTTTGACATGGACAGATGTAGAACATTAGAATAGACCCAACACAAAAGAAGAAATTGAGCAGGTCATAAAAAGACTCCCCCGCATAACAAGCCTTTGACAAGATAGATTCATGGCTGAATTTTATCAAACATTCATTAGAACTATTCCCAATTTTACTTAAATTATTAAAAAATAGAAAATGAAAGCTCACTCCAAAATAATTCTATTAAGCAAGCATAACCTTAATGCCAAACCAGGCAATGATATTGTAAAAAAAAAAAAGTACAGACCAATATTTCTCATGAACATAGATGCAAAAAAAATTAACAAAATCTTAGCCTATAGAAACCAAGAGCATATCAAACAAGTAAGTCATCATGACCAACTGAGATTGATGACAGGTGTGCAAGGATGGCTCATACAAAAGAAAAAGAACCAAGATTAATTCACAACATTAACAATGCCAATAAGAATCACATGATAGTGAGAACTGATGCAGAAAAAGACATTTGACAAAATTCAATACTACTAATTAAACAGTGATTAAAACACTCAAAAAAGGGAATAAAAGAGAATTTCCTCAACATAGTGAAAAGTATATACACAAAATCAAGAGCCAATATCATTCTCAATGGAGAAATACTAAAAGTACTTTTCTTGCAAACAGGGACTAGACAGGTATGACCACTTTCACCACTCCTAGTCAATATTATATTGGAAGTACTTACTGTGGCAATAAGTTGTTGTTGTTAAGTGCTGTTGAGTTGCAGGCGACTCATAGAAGGAGAGTCCTCGACTCTTGGGTGCCTTTCATCCTCTCTCCAGGTTCATAGGGTTTCCAGAGGCAAGCTATAATGGAAGTGGATGCCACTGCTCCTTCCAAGTTCGTTTTAATAGGGGAGCTCCACCCCACTCTCTGTCCGCATTGGGTAGCCAACCATTAACGCATTTGACACATCAGTGCCACAGTGTTCAGCCTCACAGCAACCACAAGTGACCGTGGTATGGCAACTTGTACACCAGGGCAACTTGTACACCAGGGCTATATGACCTAGAGGAATGTCTGAACAAAAACAGTGAAAAATATGCCCGAGGGCCGCAGATTAAAAGTCACCCACCTTTGGCTTGGTAGCATCACTTTCTTTCCACTGGGCCAGCTGATCTCTTTCTCTATGTTGATATTATTGTTGTTAAGTGCCATCGAGTCGCAGGCAATTCATAGCGACCCTATGAAGGAGGGTCCTCAATGCTTGGGTGCCTTTCATCCTCTCTCCAGGTTCATAGGGCTTCTGGAAGCAAGATATTATGGAAGTGAATGCCACTCCTCTTTCCAAGCTTGTTTTAATCCACCTCACTCTCTGTCAGGCAAGAATATAAGATGGAAATAAAAGTCATCCAGATGTGCAAAGAGGTATTTAAACTGTTGCCATATACAGATATGATAGTTTACACAGAAATCCTCAAGGACTCATCAAAAAACTTGTTACAGCTACTGAGCCAATTTAGTAGAGTTTTAGTACAAGATCAATATACATAAATCAGTAGGATTCCTCAACAACAATAACAACAACATCCATAAAGAAAAGATAAAGAAAGGGATACCATTTACAATAGCCAATCACAAATAATGATACTTAGGAATAAACCTAACTAGAGACACAGAAGGGCTTTACAAAGACAACTACAAAAAACAAACAAACAAAAACCAAAGAAAACTACAATATGTTCCTGTAAGAAACAAAAAACCTAAATAAATGGAATATCCCCTGTTCCTGGATGTTGTTGTTGTTGTTGTTGTT